CCCTGCACCTGTATGGGAGACCCAGAAGAAGCTCCTGGCTTCGGATCGGCACAGCTCCAGTTGTTGCGGCCAATTGGGGAGTGAACCAGCAGATGGAAGACCTCTCTCTCTCTCTGCCTTTCCTTTTCTGTGTAACTCTGACTTTCAAATAAATAAATAGATCTTTAAAAAAAGATTCTGGACATGTTTGGATATTGTAGAGCGGTGGATTGAAGATTGAAATGAAGATATACTGACCTTAGAAGCTGCCTCTGTGGCTATTGCTTTTATTAAATGACTGATAATGCATTCTTTTTAAAAAATGGTTGCTTTCTTTTTCCTGAAAGCCAAGTGTGGAAGCTAATTCCAGTAAATTTATGGTTTCTTTTAAATGAACTTTAACATGTTCAATTCTCTTATGAATGATGAATTTTATTGGGTGCAAAGTTAACACTTATAGGTTAGAAGTCACTTAATTCTTAATAAAACTTGAATGATGAATGTTAGAATTTCTTTTGGCACTGGCATTGTGCCTCAGAAGGTTAGGCCACCATCTGTGATGCTGGCATCCCTTATCAGAGTATTGGTTAGAGTTCTGGCTGCTCCACTTCCCATCTAGCTCCCTGCTAATGTGCCTAGGAAAGCAGAGAAGATGGCCCAACTACTTGGGCCCCTTGCCACCCACATGGGAGACCTGGATGGAGTTCCAACTTCCTGGCTGCCTCCTGGCCCAACCATGGCTGCTATGGCCACTTAGGGAGTGAACCAGCGGATAGAAGATCTCTCTCTCTCTCTCTCTCTCTCTCTCTCTCTGTTTCTCCACATTTCAATCAATAAAAACACAAAAACAAACAAAAAACAAAAAAGCTTTTAAAAAAAACCTATTTTCTGTATATCACACAGGTCTGTCTGCTTCCTGTGAAACCTGATTCTAAGCCGCTCATGATTTCTAAGAATTCCAGCTCTGACTGTGTCTCTGCTCCGGTGACACCTGGCGATTTCTTGCTGTTTCTCAGAATTGGTCAAAAGAATGTGGACATCCTGGTGAGCTCAGTGTCTCGTATCCATCTCCGGGGCAAGCTTCCCTGTCTGAAGAGTCTGTCTTTACAGGCAGAGTGGGCAGTGAGAGAGAGAGACAGAGAGAAAGGTCTTCCTTTGCCGTTGGTTCACCCTCCAATGGCTGCCGCGGCGGTCGCACCGCGCTGATCCGAAGGCAGGAGCCAGGTGCTTTTCCTGGTCTCCCATGGGGTGCAGGGCCCAAGTACTTGGGCCATCCTCCACTGCACTCCTGGGCCACAGCAGAGAGCTGGCCTGGAAGAGGGGTAACCGGGATAGAATCCGGCGTCCCGACCGGGACTAGAACCCGGTGTGCCGGCGCCGCTAGGCGGGGGATTAGCCTATTGAGCCACGGCGCCGGCTAAGAGTCTGTCTTATCCTCATGCCTGCGGTCGGGGTTGGGGGTCAGCTCTGGAGCAGGACTTAATTTTGCCTTGTTTTAAATCATGTGCTCAATTTCTTTTGAAAAAGCTAGGAAAAAAAATAGCTTAATAAAAAGAAATAAATTTGAGGAAAGTATCCATCTGCTTGTAAGTAATAGCTTCATATACATGAGGTAGCTAATTCTACAAGATATTAGGTGCTCCTTCAATAAAAACAAGAGAAAGAAAAGATCTCAGAAATTTCTTTGTCATACTTAAAAGGTTCCCCCACCCCCAACTCCCTGGCTTTTTAGAAGGAGTATTTGTTCTCTCTTATAATCTGGAAATGTACGTGCCTAATTGAAATAAGATGTACTTCTTAAATGATGAAAATAAAAAGTGATCAAAATAGATTTTTGTTATCCTGTGGGCATTGGGAGTTTAAATGCAAACTGCATGGCTTGCAGTGTGGGGAATTAATTATTGGTAATTGAAGTTGTAAGCTTAATTCCCTGTTTGCTTCAATGAAAATGAATCCTTTTATTTAATATTAAAATAAGCACCACTAACCTCATGATCTAGGACAGCACATGCATTCAGCTATTGAGCAACAATGAATGTTTAAAAAAAAAAGCTTTATCTTTTAAGCATTGAATTGTGATTAAAACAAAACAAAAACATTGGGGAGAGAGTATAAATACATTAGCAAGCACACAATACATGGTATCAGGTACTCTTAATAAATACTGCTTTTGTTTGCCAGTTAGAAAACCTATTTCGTGTTCTAATAAATGTCAAAATTATTAATATATCTTATATACTTTTTGAAAACTTGTCATTTGATGTTCTAATTGAAATGTGTTATCCTTTTGAATCAGGATGGTCTGTTATGCAAGTAAATTTCCCTGCCAAGTGTTTCTACTATAAGGAATTCTTTTTTTTTTTTTTTTTTTTTTTTTGAAAGGCAGAAAGAGAGCGAGAGACCTTCCAACCCCTTGTGCACTCCCCGAATGCCTGTAACAATCAATGCGGGTCTCCCAAGTGGGTGGCAGGGACCCAAGTACCTGAGCCACCATCTGCTACCTCCCAGGGTCACATTAGTAGGAAGCTGGATCATAAACAGAAGGAGAATTTGAACCCACGGACTCCAGTGTCAGATATAAGAGTCCCAAGTGGCATCTCAATCTCTGCACCAGTTGCTCTCTGAGGGAGCATTACAGATGATGACAGTGCGGAAGCTGCTTCCTGCCCCAGTCTTGTCTCTTTCTCTCTGCCTTGAGGCTCTGGCCATCAGGGAATACCTGAGTTGTTTACACTTTCTATTATATAGGGCAGCTGGGCTTTTCCGGGCCTGCTATGTTTGTTCTTTTCCCAATTAACTTCTTCTACTCCTCTGTCAGATCTCAGCTCAAGCATTACACCTGAGATAGAGGCAAGCATCCCTCATTTATATTCTCACCACACCAAGTCATGCTGTAAATACTTACCTCATGCTTGTCCCTTCTACCAGAGTACCAGTTCCAAGAAGGCATGGACAGTGTCTGCCTTGTTCACAGGTAGAGTTCCACTAACTAGGTCAGAATTGTGCACATACTAAGAATCAAGAAACATGTCTGGGGTCAGCACTGTGGCATCGCAGGTAAAGCTGCTGCCTGCAGCGCCGGCACCCCTTTTGGGCGCTGGGTTAGAGTCCTGGCTGCTCCACTTCCAATCCAGCTCTCTGCTATGGACTGGGAAAGCAGCAGAGAATGGCCCAAGTCCTTGGGCCCCTGCACCCACGTGGGTGACCCAGAGGAAGCTCCTGGCTCCTGGCTTCAGATCGGCGCAGCTCTGCCCGTTGTGGCCAATTGGGGAGTGAAGACCTCTTTCTCTGCCTCTGCTCTCTCTGTGTAACTCTGACTTTCAAATAAATAAATAAATCTTGAAAAAAAAAAGTTAATTAAGGCCAGTCTGAAAAACTCTTGACAAAATTCTCATTTTATTGCTCTGAAGCATCCATAACACAAAAAATAACTTCTTTCTCTCCTTTCTAAGGGGATTAATTTTTTTGTAAAGGCAGAGTGACAGAGAGAGAGAGAGAGAGAGAAAGATCTTCCATCTGCTGGTTCCCTACCCAGATGGCTGGTACTGGGCCAGGCCAAAACCAGGGGCTAGAAACTCCATTTGGGTATCCCATAGAAGGAGGACCTCTAACATAGAAGAAAAAGATCAAACTGATAAACAGAAGAAAGGAACTCAGAGGAAACAGATACTACAGGGAGAAGAAAACCTCAGCAAAGCCATTATTAATATCCTAGGAGTAATCAGAGAAAAGATTTCCTTTGTGAAAATATAAATGTTATTTTGTAAAAAGAAAAATTCAGATAATAAAAATATCTCTTGAAAGCTAAAAAATTGCTGAAATGAAAAATTCAGTAGAAGAACTGGAAGATAAAGTTCAACAAAGATCTGAAAAAGAATACAGCAAGAAGACCAAAGACAAGGAAAACAGAAGGCAAGATGTAAGAAAAACAAATTGAGAAGACTTGCAGGTCCAACATGTAGTAATGGGGGTTCCAGGAAGAGAAACAAAAGAAGCAAAGTAGAAAATTCATCAATAAAAATAAGTTGGGCTGGCACTGTGGTGTAGCGGGTAAAGCCACTGCCTGCAGGGCCGGAATCCCATATGGGCACTGGTTCGAGTTCTGGCTGCGCCACTTTGGATCTAGCTTTCTGCTAGGGCCTGGAGAACAGCAGAAGATAGCCCAAGCCCTTGGGCCCCTGCACCTACGTGGAAGACATGGAGGAAGTACCTGGCTCCTGACTTTGGATCAGCCCAGCTCCAGCCATTGCAGCTATTTGGGGAGTGAACTAGCAGATGGAAGACCTCTCTCTCTCTCTTCTGCCTTTGCCTCTCTGTAACTCTGCCTTTCAAATAAATAAGTAAATCTTTAAAAAAAAAGATTCCACCTTTAAAAAAATAAAAATAAGTCAACATGTAATGTTTCAGTGGCTAACAATAGAATTAATGCTACATGCTTTCTTTGATAGTACTCTCAATGGTATAATCTCTTGTTTTGTCTTTTAAAATGTGTTTCTTACGTTTCCCTTATGTTTTTAAGAGAGAATCATCTTTTATATCTCCAGCATCCTTTTCCTCTTCCATAGAGAATTCAAAATCTAGAGAAATCAGAAACTCAGTGAAGACATTTGCTGTGAAAATCATGAAATGCAACCTTAACTTACGTTAAAGCTGTATCTCTGTTTTCTTGGGAAACTTCCGAAGCTTCATTTTTAATGCTCTTTCTGGGCCGTTTCTTTAATTTGGATCTGGGAGCCAGGCTTTCGGTGTCTTCAGAGCTACTCCTCCTCATCTCTGTTCTGACTTCGGGTACGTTGGGCACTTGACTATTTCCTAGTTTTTCTCCTTGGAGGTTGCTGTTGGGACTCATTTTCTGCTTCAGAGCCCTCAGATGTAGCCCTGGAGCCTCTCACTTCGCCGTCACCCATACTGCTTGTGCCCATTGTTAACTCTGGTCTGGACACTATCTTCCTTCTTCAACAATGTTATCATTAGTTTCATTTTATTTCACACTTCTATTTAAACATTAAGTAAACACTTACCAGCTATTCCTAGGGCCAGAATGGGCTTGTCTATCACTGTTTTAGGAAATACGCCAGGATTTCTTGGTGCTTCCTCCAGTGGGGTGTTAAGAAACTGAAATGATTACAAGTAAGTTTTATTACTTATAAAACTTGCTGCCGGCGCCGAGGCTCACTAGGCTAATCCTCCACCTTGCGGTGCCAGCACACCGGGTTCTAGTCCCAGTCGGGGCGCCGAATTCTGTCCCGGTTGCCCCTCTTCCAGGCCAGCTCTCTGCTGTGGCCAGGGAGGGCAGTGGAGGATGGCCCAAGTGCTTGGGCCCTGCACCCCATGGGAGACCAGGAGAAGTACCTGGCTCCTGGCTTTGGATCAGCGTGATGCGCTGGTCGCAGCGCGCTGGCCCCAGCGGCCATTGGAGGGTGAACCAACGGCAAAAAGGAAGACCTTTCTCTCTGTCTCTCTCTGTCTCACTGTCCACTCTGCCTGTCGGGAAAAAAAAAAAAAAAAAAAAAAAAAAAAAAAAAAAAAAACCTTGCTAAATGCTTTACTCTTTCTGTTTAGGACCTGGACCTACCTCAATAGCTTTTGCTGCGTGTTCTTTTGTTTCAAATCCCACACAAGCAAATTCTTGTGGATCTCCAGGAGACTTATAATGGGGTATACTTATATAAACAGCATCACCACGTTTTCCAAATATTCTTTCAATCTAGCTGTGAGCCAGTGGATCAGAAGCTTGTCTGTCTCTTTCTTTGTATCTCTGTATTTCAAATTTTTAAAAAAGCAGAAGACATGAATGATGAAATTAGATGATGAAATTAGAAAACAGTGAGTTCAAGTTCTAGCCTTACCACTTAGTAGAGGGACAAGCCTGAGAAAGTTTTTTTTTTTTTTTTGACAGAGACAGAGAGAGAGAGAGAGAGAGAAAGGTCTTCCTTTTTCGCTGGTTCACCCTCCAAATGGCCAGCACGCTGCGCCAATCCAAAGCCAGGAGCCAGGAGCTTCCTCCTGGTCTCCCATGTGGGTACAGGACCCAAGGACTTGGGCCATCCTCCACTGCCCTCCCGGGCCATAGCAGAGAGCTGGCCTGGAAGAGGGGCAACCGGGACAGAATCTGGCGCCCCGACCAGGACTAGAACCTGGGATGCCAGCGCCGCTGGCAGAGGATTAGCCTAGTGAGCTGTGGCGCCGGCCTAAAATGATTTTCAATAATGGCAATTTTAGCCGGCGCCGTGGCTCACTAGGCTAATCCTCCACCTTGCGGCGCCGGCACACCGGGTTCTAGTCCCGGTTGGGGCGCCGGATTCTGTCCCGGTTGCCCCTCTTCCAGGCCAGCTCTCTGCTGTGGCCAGGGAGGGCAGTGGAGGATGGCCCAAGTGCTTGGGCCCTGCACCCCATGGGAGACCAGGAGAAGTACCTGGCTCCTGGCTTTGGATCAGCGTGATGCGCTGGTCGCAGCGCGCTGGCCCCAGCGGCCATTGGAGGGTGAACCAACGGCAAAAAGGAAGACCTTTCTCTCTGTCTCTCTCTGTCTCACTGTCCACTCTGCCTGTCGGGAAAAAAAAAAAAAAAAAAAAAAAAAAAAAAAAAAAAAAAAAAAAAAAAAAAAAAAAAAAAAAAAAAAAAAACCTTGCTAAATGCTTTACTCTTTCTGTTTAGGACCTGGACCTACCTCAATAGCTTTTGCTGCGTGTTCTTTTGTTTCAAATCCCACACAAGCAAATTCTTGTGGATCTCCAGGAGACTTATAATGGGGTATACTTATATAAACAGCATCACCACGTTTTCCAAATATTCTTTCAATCTAGCTGTGAGCCAGTGGATCAGAAGCTTGTCTGTCTCTTTCTTTGTATCTCTGTATTTCAAATTTTTAAAAAAGCAGAAGACATGAATGATGAAATTAGATGATGAAATTAGAAAACAGTGAGTTCAAGTTCTAGCCTTACCACTTAGTAGAGGGACAAGCCTGAGAAAGTTTTTTTTTTTTTGACAGAGACAGAGAGAGAGAGAGAGAGAGAAAGGTCTTCCTTTTTCGCTGGTTCACCCTCCAAATGGCCAGCACGCTGCGCCAATCCAAAGCCAGGAGCCAGGAGCTTCCTCCTGGTCTCCCATGTGGGTACAGGACCCAAGGACTTGGGCCATCCTCCACTGCCCTCCCGGGCCATAGCAGAGAGCTGGCCTGGAAGAGGGGCAACCGGGACAGAATCTGGCGCCCCGACCAGGACTAGAACCTGGGATGCCAGCGCCGCTGGCAGAGGATTAGCCTAGTGAGCTGTGGCGCCGGCCTAAAATGATTTTCAATAATGGCAATTTTAGCCGGCGCCGTGGCTCACTAGGCTAATCCTCCACCTTGCGGCGCCGGCACACCGGGTTCTAGTCCCGGTTGGGGCGCCGGATTCTGTCCCGGTTGCCCCTCTTCCAGGCCAGCTCTCTGCTATGGCCAGGGAGTGCAGTGGAGGATGGCCCAGGTGCTTGGGCCCTGCACCCCATGGGAGACCAGGAGAAGCACCTGGCTCCTGCCATCGGATCAGCGCGGTGCGCCGGCTGCAGCGGCGGCCATTGGAGGGTGATCCAACGGCAAAGGAAGACCTTTCTCTCTCTGTCTCTCTCTCTCACTGTCCACTCTGTCAAAAAATAAAAAAAAAAATAAAAATAAAAAAATGGCAATTTTTAGTAGAATATTATGATGAAAGGCCTAAGAAGGTAATTTATAAAAAGTGAAAGATCTTCAAGTAAGTCATGAATTATTAGTAATAGTTTATAGAACCTAACAATATCAAAGATCAACTGATTCATAACTTGAATAATTGCAAATTTTTTTTAGTTTTAAATAGATCATGTAATGTAAGAGTATTTGTTCACTCCTCAAATGACTGCAATAGCCAGGTCTAGGCCAGACTGAAGACAGAAGCCAGGAAATCCATCCTGGTTTTCCATGTGTGTGGCAAGAACCCAAGTATTTGGGCCATCTTCTACTACTACCTTCCCAGCAGCATTAGCAGGGAGCTGGACAGGAAGCAGAGGCAGGACTTGATCCCAAGCACTCTGATATGGGATGTAGTTATCCCAAGCAGTGGCTTAACCCATTGTGCCACAATGCCTACCCCTTCTTTTAACTTTTTTTAAACTTATTTTTATTTAATTTTTTATTAATATAAAGAGAACAGAATTTATGTAGTTCACAGATACAATGCTAAGAATTTTATGATACTTCCCTCCATCCTCCTTCCTTTTTTAATTTTTGTGATAACATTTTAATTGACTTTATAATCATAGAGTTACACTCCACTAGAGTTCAATAAGCAAACAGTAGAAAGACCATGGCTCAGCAGGAATATAGACAAGGGCTATCAACAATAATTAAATCCCAAGATGTCAATGTCACTCACATACATTAAAGATTTTTTTGCACTCTGTATGTTACTTACCACAAATCAGAGATAATATGTGATATTTGTCTTTTAGGGTCTGGCTTATTTCACTAAGCATAATAGTCCTTTTTCAAACAAAAAGATTTATTATTTGTTTATTTGAAAGGCAGAGTTATAGAGAGAAAGAGAGATAGAAAGAGTTCTTCCATACACCGGCTCACACTCCCCCACTCACACTCCTCCCCTCAAAACAGTGGTAACTAAGCCAGGGCTGGGCCAGCTTGAAGCCAGGAGCCAGGACCTCCATCTTGGTCTCCTTAGGGGTGGTGGGAGCCCAAGCACTTGACTATCTTCTGTTACTTTTTCAGGAGCATTAGCAGGGAGCTGGATCAGCAGTGGATCAGGAGCTGGTGCTGTGGCGCAGCGGATTGAAGCCCCATTTGGGCACCAGTTCAAGTCCCGGCTGCTCCGCTTCCTATCCAACTCTCTGCTAATGTGCCTGGGAAAGCAGTTGAAGATGGTCCAGGTGCTAGGGCCCTTGCATCCACCTGGGAGACTGGGAAGAAGCTCCTAGCTCCTGGCTTTGGATTGGCCCAGATCTGGCTGTTGCAGCCATTTGGGGAGTGAACCAGCAGATGGAAGACCTCTCTTTCTGTCTCTACCTCTTTAACTCTTTCAAATAAATAATAAAAATCTTTAAAAAACAAAAAATGGTGCAGCCAGGACACAAATAGGTGCCCATTTGAGATGCTGGTGTTACTGGTAGCATCTTAACCCACTGCACAAGAACAGCCCCTCTTACTTTTAATGTGACTACTAGACAATTTTAAATTGTGTATGTGACTCATATTTTATTCTTAATAGAAAAATCACTGGCCTAAATATCTTTTTTTTTTTTTTTTTAGTTTTTGGTGCTTCAAATGTTTTCTCCTTGTCTGTTAAATTTGTTTCTGTTATCCTTTGCTAGACCAAAGGATTAATATTAATGTAGTTATGGGGCCAGTGCTGTGGTATAGCACGTAAAGCTGCCACCTGCAGTCCCATATGGGTGCCAGTTCGAGTCCTGGCTGCTCCACTTCCAAGCCAGCTCTCTGCAATGGCCTGGGAAAGCAGTAGAAAGATGGCCCAAGTGCTTAGGCCCCTGCACCCGTGTGGGAGACCCGGGGGAAGCTCCTGGCTCCTGGCTTCGGATTGGCACAGCTCCAGCTGTTGTGGCCAACTGGTGAGTGAACCAGCGGGTGGAAGACCTCTCTCTCTCTCTCTCTCTCTCTCTCTCTGCCTTTCCTTCTCTCTCTGTGTAACTCTGGCTTTCAAATAAGTAAATAAATCTTAAAAAAAAAAAAAAAAAGCCCAGCTTTTTCTAAAGGTGATGAGCCAACTATCCCAATACCATATACCAAAAAGAATCCCCTTCTTTTTTAACCACATTTATTGTTTAGCAAATTTCCAAATACACACAGATCTATTTCTGAATTCTGTTCTGTGCCATTGGTCTGTTCCTACACCAGTACCACACTGTTTTTTGCTCTGTGATATAACATAATAACTAGTAGACTGAATCACTACTCACTCACATGCTGATATAAATGTATCAGCTGAAATCATCCCACCAAAAGAGTTTCTATACTTTGCTTTACTTTATCTTATCAGCTATCTGGTTTGGTCTTTTGTGCCACTAGGCCTTCTTGACTGCCTCTTCTTTAAGGGTGTTTGTTGTTCTCAGTGAACCTTTTAGAGCCAAGACAGAGTTAAAAGCAATCTGTTCACAGGAGATATACCAGTGGATGATGAACAAACTTTTACTGAGCACCTGCTATTTTAACTCTCTCCTGCATCAGTTACTCTTCTTTTGCTTGTAAAGATAAAAATCATTTGAAGAAAAAGCTGACCAGCCAGTATTCTAAAAGAACCAGAACTAAGACAGCTCGGAGGTTAAAGGATTGTAGTAGCTAGTCTCTCCGGGGGAATGGACTAGCTCCAGTCATTTTCCCTTTTTGCATCACTCCACCTATGAGTCAGTGCTTAGCAGACGGAGAGTGAGATCTAGACCCAAGCAGGTTTTCCTAGCATGGGCACTAAGGGACCAGTCATTATGGGTGCCATCCTTGGTTTCCTAAAATCAGTTTCATGGAATGATACCACCTATTCTCTGAGCAACCCCTGCATCAGTCTCCCTCCTTTGTTACCCAGAGTTGGTTTCTGTCACCTGCAACCAATAATTTTGTCTCTTTTGGTTAGTTAGTAAGTTAGTCTAAGTAGTTAAGTGAATGAATGAATAAATGAACTAGCAAAAAAATCAGAATTTGTAACTACTTTTAAGGCTTTCAAGCAAATCTACAAGATTGGAATGACCATGGCAGGAATACTCTGACATAGTTTAATCTAAATTATTTGTTAGAATCATACCCTTGCTCTTGGGAAAGACACAAAAGCACACTGCCTATTCTTTTTTTAGATTTTTATTTATTTGAAAGGCAGAATTACAGAGACAGAGGAAGAGACAGAAAAAGAGATCTTCCATCCACTAATTCACTTTTCAAATGGCCACAATAACCAGCGATGAGCCAAGCCAAAGCCAGAAGCCTGGAACTCTGCCCAGGTCTCTGGCATGGGTGGCAGGGGCCCAAGCACTTGGGCCACTTTCTGCTGCTTTCTCAGGCACATTAGCAGAATGCTGGATTGGAAGTGGAGCATCCAGGACTTGAACTGGTGCTCATATGTGATACCAGCATTGCAAGTGGTGACTTAAGCCACTGTGCCACAATGTTGGCTCCTGCTTTCTTTTACATCACTCACCAATCCTGTGTGTGAATAGGGAAAACTAAGCACTAATAGGAATAGCAATAATCCAAGACTGAAGATATCACATGGCAGGAAAAAGGTAAAAACAAGCAGGAGAGCAAGAATTTGCAAAAGAGCTCATATCCTACTGAGTGGGAGAACAGGATAGTCACCACTGGGGATACAGCAATAGAAATACGCGAGGAGGAGGAGGGGGAGGGGAGAGGGAGGGGGGGAGGAGGAGAAAAAAGAATAAACCAAAGCCTAGAGATGGGAAAGTACTGGAAACACCCAGGAGGGTAGGTTGTGATCCTATCAGGAAGATCTTGAATGCCAGGCTAAGAAATCTGTGCTTAGTGATAGCACTGGAAGCTGCTTAAAGTTTCTGAATGAAAGAGCTGCATGGTTAAAAGCAGTATTTAAAAAAAAAAAAAAGAAAGAAAGAAAGAAAGAAAGAAAACAAGCTTGTCAAGAGTCTTCTATGACGTTGCCACTCAGAGAGTGGTCAAGGACCAGCAGCAGGGGCTTCACTGGGTGAGAGTCCATCAGAAATGTAGACTCTGAGCTTTCCCTCCCAGGTCCACTGAACCCTAATCGGCAGAGCAGCAAGACCCCCAGGTGATTTGCTTGCATGATAGCACCTGAGGAGCACAGTGTGGAGACAGTGAAAGAACACCTGTCCTAAGCAGACCAGTTAGAAGAC